GCTTGTCTAAGCTTCCTGATGGGAAGGACTGGTGGTAAGAAAAACTGGGTCTTACTCTGGCGGGCAAAGCCATGCTCAGTAAAACCTTAATCCAATGATCTGCTGATGGCTGGGATTGTGCTCCCTCTCTATTAGTTGTTCTGCTTGAGGCGACCCAGTCCTGTGGTCTATGGGCTTAATGGCGATCTCCAAGAGGTCTTATGCCAAGAGGCCACTTCCAGGACTGCTGCTGCCAATGCCCATCCCCACAACAAGCCACCGCCAACCCACATGTCCACAGGAGACCCTCCAACATTAGCAGATAGTTTTGGTTCAGCCTCCTGTATGATCACTGATCCTTTCCCCTGGGTCTTGGTGGGAAGATTTTGTTTGTGCCCTCCAAGATTGGACTCTGTTCCCCCTAGTCCTATGGAAGTTCTATAATTAAATCCCACTGGCCTTCAAAGTCATATTCCCTGGGGATTCCCAGTACCTTTGCTGGATCTACAGACTGGGAAGCCTGACATGAGGCTCAGGACTTTCACAACAGTGGGAGAATTTCTCTGGTATTATTGTTCTCCTGATTGTGGGTCACTCACCTGGTGGGTATGGGATTTGATTTTACCGTGACTGCAACCCTCCTACCATCTCGGTGCAGCTTCTTCTTTGTCTTTAGATGTGGGACATCTTTTTTTTTTTTTTTGGTTCCACTGTACTCCTGTTGATGGTTGTTCAATAGCTAATTGCAATTTTGGTGCTCTCCCAGGAAGAGATGAGTGCACATCCTTCTACTCTTGAACCAGAAGCTTCCTGCTATTGTTTTTAAAGGGATTAAAATTCTTATTGTAAATGGCTACATGACATAGTTCCGGAATGAAACAAAAGCAGAAGGCTACCAAGAGCTCTAGGAAAGTTATTGCTCTCTTGGCAAAAGGAACAGAAGGCAGAATTGCCTCTTTTCCTTCTTCCTGCTTTGGATACAGACTTGATGTCTGGAGCTGTAGTGGCCATCTTAGGGTCAAGACTTACTTCCAGACCTTCTATTATGCATTGAGTTGGCCAAAAAGTTCATTTGAATTTTTTCATCTGGTCAACCCAATAGTTTAAAAACAAACATACCCTATAGTCTATGTTTTCTTGTAGCCAAACACTACGCTAAGCACTATCCTTAAAACAACCCACTTTACAGATGAGAAACCCTGCTCAGAGCAACCTACTAATTCTGTTGGAATATGAACCTAGATTGTCTGAGTTCAAAGGCTAGTGTCTTCATCACACTAACTTGTTTATATTTTCTTGATTCCTAGCTAAGTGCCTGAACTTAGAATATCCCAAGTTCATTGGGGAACCTGCAAGTTGTCTTCCATGGTCAAAGCCACCAGATACCCTAGCCCAGTCCACTATCCAATTCCTGCTGATGGCCCTGCTGGTATCACCATCCAGACGCTTCAAACCATCTGGCCACAAATCTGGATGAGGCATCATGCAATGAGCCCTGCTCTTCAACCAGCCAGAGGAGCACACTAACACAGCACAGCAGGCCAGGCACCTGTGGCCTCACTGAGAAAAAGGCTCCATCCTCTCTTTCACAGCATCCCTGGTTGATGGGGGTTCTGGCTGTCTCTAGATCTCAGTGGAATCTATAGGTAAGTCAGCAGCTGGAACATCTTCACCCTGCTTGTCTGAATAAGGAAAAGAGCTGTGACTCAGAGCAGAGGCCAGGGCTGGGCTGCCATGGAAAAAACCTAACTGAGGAGATTCCTGTTTTACAACCACAACTACCCAGGCACCCACAACAGCCCCGTTGCTGACATTTGCTGCCTCTCTCAGGTAAAGAGGGAAATTAAAGATGAAAAGCAGGCCTGCTAATTCCAAAAAAACCTGCTGACTCAGAGAACCCCATGGTTGCTGATATTTTTCTTGATTTGTAGTGTGGCAAATTCTATCACAGCTAATCCATGCTTCTCTCTCAAAGGAAGGGCAACCTTGAGGCAACAAGCTGACAAGCTCAGAAATGAAAGGATTGCCTTTGTCCAGTCAAAGTGCCTTTCCTAAAGCAGAAGTATCCTCTTGGGCCAGTTTGAGTTTTCTTTCAGTTCTATGTTCTACATTAAAGAGTGAAAGTTATCTCTACTTCTACTTAACTGTGGTATTATATACTCTATCACTGTATGGTTTTGGTCCCTTATAAAAACACTGTCATACTGAAAACATGTTTGTTAATATAAAAATAAACACTTTTGAGGGATTAGAATATCTCAGGAAAAAAGAGCAAATATTTAATTGGCAGTTGCAATATTAAACATTTTTCATATATTATGCTTTAGTCCTCAAAATTATGATGATCCTATTCATTACACAAAGTGAGAAAAGTGAAGCTTAGACAAGTAAATTACCCAACATGATACAGCCAGTCAGTAGCAGAATCTAACCATATCTAGGGCTGTCTGGTACCAGTTTACAATTTTCCCTAAACTGCCTCTAAGAAATAAGCATAGAAAAAAATGCCTCAATGTTACTTGAAAGCAATAACTTTGGATATTTAAGTGTATCAATCAGCCACTGGATTCCTTTCCCAGATGAATCATTGTATAATTTTATATGCTAGAATTATGAACTGAGTTGAGGCATTACAGTTTTGGTATAAGGCTATAGGAATCTACCCAGCCCACCCCATCGTCCATTCCAGACCCTGATGCATGTTGGCCTTGGGCCTTCTGTGACACGGGGCCATAGCAGCAGTTGCCAGAAACCCAGAGACAGTCCCCATGCTGCCTTCTGTTGTGCACCATCCCAGGCTCACTGCAGGAAGCTATGACACAGCACCTGCAGGAAGCTGGCCAGGCACTGCTACCAGGGTCAAGACAGTGGTGCCTAGACTGGGGATATGGAGAGCAGGGAGTCCACCAACCTCACAGGACAGACCAGGAGGACTTAGATCATTTCCACCTCAGCAGATACTATGTTCCAGCCTCTGTTCTAAGCCTTAGCAATAGAGGAAGAAATTTTTAAAATGTGGTTGTTTGGTTGCTCAGTCATGTCCAACTCTTTGCAACCCCAGGCTTCCCTCTCCCACACCATCTCCTGGAGCTTGCTCAAATTTATGTCCACTGAGTCGGTGATGCCATCCAACCATCTCATCCTCTGTTGCCCCTTTTTCCTCTGGTCCTCAATCTTCCCCAGCATCAGGGTCTTTTCCAATGAGTCACCCCTTCACATCACCTCATTTAAAAATGAGAACCCTGTATTTATGGAATTTTTAGTGACTATCTAAACAATGACCAATGTGGAGGGAAGAGCAGAGAATTCCCTAGAATGTTCTGCATTGTGTAAGATGCCCGGGGATGACTGAGACTGTAAGTAGGATACCAACTGTGAAATGCAGAGTGATATCTTAATATTGAAAATTGAATTTCTCTCAAATCTAGTAGTAGAGAATAGGAGTTTGTTGTTGTTTAGCCACTAAACCGTGTCTGATTCTTTGCAACCCTATGGACGGTAGCCTGCCAGGCTCCTCTGTCCATGGGATTTTCCAGGCAAGAATACTGGAGTGGGTTGCCATTTCCTTCTCCAGGGGATCTTCCCAACCCAGGGATCGAACCCGGACTGCATTGGCAGGCAGATTATTTACCACTGAGCCACTTGGGAAGCCCATGTGGAGTTTGGGGTAAACTAAAAAAGATTTAGAGAAAGGGAAAAAATGTGATGGCTTTTGCATCGTATTTTGTAGAATAAAATTCATGCCAACTACATTCTCTCTGTGATATAACTAAGATGACTTTGTTGCTTTTCTTTTTTTTTTTTTTCCAGAACAGATATAAAGGGAGAGTGACTTGCCACCTTATTTCTCTGTGATATGTGCTGAGGACATCTAATCTCATTAACCCATGCTTCTAAGAAAGGTTAAACTATAATTCAGGATTTGGTCTGTACCTCCAATTTCAGTAAAGTCATGTCACCCTGGGCTAAGAGAATAAAAGAGAATAGTATTCTAGTAATGGCAAATTTTCAGGGCTATACCTATGATCAGAAAATTTCTAGCATTTTTAAAAATTTTCTTTCTCTAATTTTTGGTTGTTTTGGGTCTTTGTTGCTGCATACAGACTTTCACTATTTGAGGTGAGTGGGGGCTACCCTTCATTGCAATAAACGGGCTTCTCATTTCAGTGGCTTCTCTTGAAATTTCTAGCCATTGATTAATGTTAGCCTTTCTTTATTCCTAACCAAATGCTTAATGAAAATTGATATATTTAAATTATATCCATTAGAGATAAGAAAAGACAAAATCTCTCAGAGAACAAATTACCTCAGCAACATTCATGACTCTTAAAACCAAGACTGTCTTAAGGTTGGATCTTGGTAGAACATTCAATGAGAATATTAGAAGAACATCATGGTGGCAGCTAATGTCAGTACTTATTTCTTTTTCTTTCCTCAAAATCTTTTCAGCTCTGTTGTCTACAACCTCAAAGAAATGTATTCCTTGGGAAAGATCAAATCTCATCCAACAGCAAAAGGAGTAACATCTCTGAGATCCCACCCTCCTCCTGCTGGACAATCTTCAGCTCATTCCCCGGTGAGGCTTTGGGGATGACTGAGAAGTGAGGTGGCTCAGTCGTGTGTGACTCTTTGCAATCCAACTCTTTGCAATCCCATGGACTGTACAGCCTAGCTGTACAGTGGCTGTACAGTGGCTCCCCGGTCCATGGAATTTTCCAGGCAAGAGGAATGGAGTAGGTTGCCATTTCCTTCTCCAGGGGATCTTCCCCATCTGGAGATCGAATCCAGGTCTCCGGCATTGCAGGCAGACACTTTACCCTCTGTGCCACCAGGGAAGCCTGGGGATGACTGAGACTTGAATATAATGCTAATCAAGTTCAAGAGGCTGGGCCCTCCCAGTGAGACCACCCCCCCCCCCCCCCCCCCCNGCTAATCAAGTTCAAGAGGCTGGGCCCTCCCAGTGAGACCCCCCCCCCCCCCGCCCCAAGAAATCTAGAAATGCAAATGAATTTGCATCTTACCTGAAAGAATGGCAAATTGTCTGTGAAGTTGTTCAATTATATCCACTGCCACCAAGGGCCTGATTTCCTGCTGCATAATTTCATCTGTACAAATGAAATACAGATTAGGTTAAATTCCTGCAAATTATAAAGAGAATTTAAAGGAAGAAAGGGAAGTTCCACCACTAGGGAAGTTTGGGATGTGGTTATAGAGATATGATTATGGGCACATTACTCTCTTGAGAACTCAATTCCTGACAGGCAGGGATGGATCTGGTTTGACGCTTAAACACATGAGCACAGGAATACATTTCTAGTGCCTCTCCCAAGGTTTAGGGAAGGATCAATGCAAGGAAGAAACCCTGAAGTTTAAGCTTCAGTAGCTTCACAGTAAACCTGCTAGTATGGTTTCATTACCAAGGCAGGTGCTTAGGGTCTGCTCACTCCTTTGGGTCTGTAGGACATTTTAAATACAAACAATGTAAGTAACCAGAGTTCATCTCAAACTGGGTCATGAAACCAATCTGGAACTTACAAAGGTTCTTTGATTTTTATTCTTTTCCTCACTTCCTTCCTTCTGCCTCTCTCCTCAGTCAACTCCATTCCTTTTTTTTCTCCCTTCCAGAATACTTCACGGAGTCTCTTCCAACTGGCAAACATGTTTAAGGATCTTAAATAAAGATTAAGTTCACTCCTAAACTCCTCTGGGCAGAGGAAGGCATTTTCATGATTAAGTTCATTCCTAAAGATTAAGTTTGGTTCACTCCTCACTAAACAAAATGTTACAGGTTTCCAAAGCAAAAATTCAAACCTTTCAAGCACAAACTTACAAATGTCCTCTAACCCCAAAGAGTGATTTATAATCAATAAGACTGGTTTTACCCATTTGGGGAAAGGGGACTAGAGAGAAGGGAAGACTGAGTGGCATCTCCTAACCTGGCCTAGGCAGAGGAAGACATTTTCATGCTTTCTCTGCCTACGACACTATTATCCTCATTTAACTATTTCCAAGGGAACCTCAAGAAATAAACTAGTTATTGTTTCTACAGCAGTAAACATCAGGTTAGATTAAGGCACAAACCAAATAACTTTGTATGTTGAAGCTAAACAGGTTATCTCAAGTGTTTTGGCATGGAGACAGGGTAATGTGATTTTCTAATACTGATCATCCGAAGGTAATATTTGGGAAGCTCCTCCCAAAACCTTGGTTTTTCACTTCTCAGCCTTGGTATATAGGTTACAGATGATGCATATGGAGATGTACCTAGTAGGCGCTACATAAACACTAGCTCTGTTCATCACTTGGAAAGGCCTTTCCTATATTTGCTTTCTGAGAGTCTTATGGGGGTGGTGCTATTCAAACCCCAAGATTCTTTTCAGTGAATTCTACCACTTTCTCTGGAGGGAGGAAGGTAAACCCAAGACACATTCCACTCTAAATTCACTCAAAATTCAGACTCCTGTATCCCTGCCACAGGTGTTGCCGCCTCCAATCGGTCTGCATGCAGGAACAACACTAAAGTCACTAGTTTACAAAACAGGAAGTGCCTTCTCTGTTAGATTCACAAAGTAAATCCTCTAACAGTAAAAAGATATGAAGTCTGAGATCTGCTTGAAAATATTCCAGGATTCCCTTCTGCCAAAAACTACAAGGAGTGGGAGATGGCAGGTGGGGTTTGGGGGAAGCTGAAACCAAATTGACAAAATGTGGATAATTGTTGAAGCTGGTTGACAGATCCTTGGCAGTTCATTATACAATTTTTTGCATATATTTCTGTTTCCGTAACAAAATTTAAATTACAAATGGACAACAGCATAGAAAGTTTAAGCAGAAATAGGAGCTATATAGTTGAAGAGTTTTTCAGATTACAATCTCCCAGTGATCTGGGAAAGTGACATACTCAAAACTACAGCTGGGTTGTTATTTTTCCATACCTGAGGCAGTCTATTTAAGGGAAAGTGACCCAGAGAAAAACCAAGATCATAAGATGCAATTTATTGTTATTTTACCTCAATATTTGAGGTGTGCTTTAAAGTAAACATTTTAATTTTTAACATTTGTTTATTTTTTTGGCTGCCCCAGGTCTTACTTGTGGCACATGGAATCTTTTAGTTGTGGCACTCTTAGTTGTGGCACACGGGATTTAGTTCCCTGACCAGGGATCGAACCCAGGCCCCATGCATTGGGAACATGCAGTCTTAGCCACCGGACCACCAGGGAAGTCCCCCTAGCATAAACATTTTAAATTAAAGAGGTAATATCTGAAAGAAACAACAGAAGTGAGTTAAACTAACCATCCCTCTGTCCCATCTCATTTTTTAAGTGAAGAAATGGAGAGATTCTGACCTTGCTTGTGGTCACACAACAATTTCAGTGTGGAGCCTGGGTCAGCCTTGGATTACATGACTCTAAGAGAGCAAGCGTGATGGAGTTTCTAGACCCCTCGGCCTTGAGGAGCACTGACTTCTGCCACCCCCTGAGATGTTGACTGGTGTCTCTCATCTTGGAAATTGCCCAGTGCTCCAAAAAGATGTTTTCACCTGCCTCCTATGGTTACGAAAGGTACAATACTAAAATTGATGATTTGTTTTTCCAAGAATAGAAATGAGCTGATTTGCCTTTGGCCCCAGTTTTGCTGACAGTGGCATGGTTATCCTTGAAGATGTCCCAGGTCTCAGTGAAGGGACCTCATAACCCAACCTTGCCTGCTGCAACAGACCATGATTTCTCAAACTCATTGCTGACTGAGCACATGGAGGTGTGACCTCAGACACTGGCTTTTAGTAATGCCTGACACCTGTGGGCCTTGCTCGGTTCGGCCTCATTCATGCTCTGTACCAGGAGAGACACACAAGACCAGTCCTTGCTGCTGGCAGGCCCCGCTACACACTCCTGTAGAGATGGGGCGGGGAGGGGAGTGCAGGAACTCTTTAGTCTAAAGGAACACCTCCCCCTGCAGTGAGAAGGAAGCTGCCTCAGGTCCACACAGCCCTGCATGCTAATGGCTGTTTCTGCCAGTTTCTAGCCGGGCAACCATGGCAAGAACATGCTGAACCTCAGAGTCCACAAGTATAAAATGGCTTTTCCTTCTCCAGGAACAGCTGGGCACAGCCAGTGACAACCCATTGACGTGGTGGTACCTGCTGCACCCTGCAAGTCCCTGGGTCCTGTGTGGAGGCTTCCTGCTTGCTATTTTGGATACGTGTAAATTAAAGTTTGTCTCTTTGCATCCCACACAAGGCAAAGGGAAGTGGTAAGTGAATTTCGACACAATGTCTATCCTATGCAAAGTTACAAACAGGCCTGGAAAAAACTTATCCCATTTCGGTCTCTGATATATATACAAACGTGAGATTATATGCTACCCTGGACCCTCAGTTCCAAAAATGCAGGAAGAATCCACAAGGGCCTTGGAGGTGATGGAGTGTACCCCAGCACATCCAATAGGAATCCAGTCATAGGCAGCAAGCAACACATCTTTGTTGTCCACCACCCCCCAGCCACCCCCCAACCCCTGTCTGAGAGCAATACAGACTTTGGGGCAGGACCCTTACTACTGACTGCAACCTCCTCCTTAGGGCAGAGGGTAGGAAACAGGCTGATAACACCTGATGCAGTTTAACTGTTGCAACTAGCAAGAAATAAAGGGCAATGAAACACTTAACCTATGTTCTTGCTGTTCTGAGATGGGTCACACTGGGATTTAAAAGACTCAAGCATAGTCTGAGGAAAAAGGAACCAAAACATAAATAAATAAACTAGTCATGAAATTAAAAGATGCTTGCTCCTTGGAAGGAAAGCCATGACAAATCTAGAGAGTGTATTAAAAGTCAGAGACATCACTCTGCCAACAAAGGCCTGTATAGTCAAAACTATGGTCTTTTCCAATAGTCATGTACAGAAGTGAGACTGTATGTGACTATATGTGAGCCCAAGCCTTTTCGGACTATAAAGAAGGCTGAGCACCAAAGAACTGATGCTTTCAAACTGTGGTGCTGGTGAAGATTCTTGAGAATCCCTTGGACAGCAAGGAGATCCAACCAGTCAATCCTAAAGGAAATCAGTCCTGAATATTCATTGGAAGCACTGATGCTGAAGCTGTATCTCCAATATTTTGGCCACTTGATACAAAGAACTGACTCACTGGAAAAGACGCTGATGCTGGGAAAGACTGAGGGCAGGAGAAGTGGGTAACAGAGGATGAGATGGCTGGATGGCATCACTGACTCAATGGACATGAGTTTGAGCAACTCCGGGAGACAGTGAAGACAGGGAAGCCTGGCATGCTGCAGTTCATGGGGCTGCAAAGAGTCAGACACGACTTAGTAACTGAACGACAAAATTAATAAGGGGAAAACATATGATCTGACCCCAGAAGGAAGGCAGACCCTAGTTTGACAGACCATGCTACATGTCTACTTTGCCCAGAGAATCTGGTAGGCAGAAAGGATGAAAGGATTCGCTGTTAGCTGAACTAGGAATGGGACCAGGATCTCCATTCAGCCACTGTTTATGACACTAATGAGAGCACTAGCTCTGAGCCAGCCCTCACAAGACACTTTGCAGATAATTTATTTTATTAGTTAATAATGACAGAAAAGGAATGCACCTAGAACAAAAATGAAACTCCTCTTGCCACTCCATCCTCCTAGCCCTGCAACTAGAACAGACTTTACTGCTGACAAAACCCTTATAGACCAGAGGCTCTGAGGAATCAGTCGCTAGGTTGGTACAAAAAGCCACCATGGTGTCATGCTGTGTTTCAATTGTCTCTCTCTTTTTGACTGCACTGGGTCCTCATTAGCTGTAGCATGCAGGTGGCATGTGGGATCTTAATGCCCTGACCAGGGATCGAACCCACATCCTCTGCATTGGAAGATGGATTCTTAACCTCTGGACCACCAGGGAAGTTCCTCACTTCCCTTACTGGCTAGGTTAGAAAGAACACAAACTCATTTTCCTTCTTTTACTGAGTCCTGTGCTATAGCAATACTTAACCTGAATCAGATGAATTAGTATTAAAGTCTTGTCCATTAGTTAACATTGAAGAAGAGGCACTTGAAAAGCAGATGAGAGAATTTTTTAAGGAGAAATTTAGAAGATT